TGCACGGGAAAATGGATTGCTGAGTTAAAAATTAAATATATAAAAATTATGTCTGACATGCTTCAAATGTACATTTTTTAATAGTGGAAAGCTTATTCAACCACAAGGGTAGTTAAATTGGCATTTTTTTAATTGTAAAATCTACATGAAACAATTCGGACAATTTTTTAACCACCTACAAAATTGTCGGATCAGCAATTTCATTTTTTCCGTGTGCACTCCGTCAAAAACTCTCCCATATTAGTCCGATTTTATGACATTCCTCCACCAAAAAAAAAAAAAAAAAAAAAAAAAAAAAAAATGATTTTTCAAAAATGTTTGGTTGGTTGGTAGATGCGTTTATTTGGTGATTTTAACAATGTAGCCATTAAAACTTAGAGGAGAGATCTAAATATGGTCCAGAATTTAAAAATTTAAAAAGTAGGGGTCACATAAGGTAGTGCAAAATTAAAAGTTAGTACAAGGAAATAATACATTAAATTTGGATATTAATTTGTCCCATGTGCGCTTAGCTGCGCGTATAATCCCGCTGACGACCGAGCGTATGTGGAGGGAACGGTGATTTTTATCATGAGCTGGCAACGCCAGGCACACCTTCCGGACCGCCACTCAACTCAGCACTTTGCTCGATCGATCTAATTCTATCAATTTTCTGAATCGGAAGTGCAGTGTTGACCTATTTCGTTATGATATCGGAGGCGGAACGTGAAGATCTTTATTAGGTGGCGGGGAGGTTACTCTCCGATTTTTATTTCGCACCGCGCGGGCCGCGCCGCCGGAAGCTATTTTCATCGCTTCCGCGGCATTCCCATCCGGCCCAAAACTCGGAGGAAAAGAATACCGCTATCCCTGATAAAAATTGGACGGATTAAGATTTCGGTGAACTCTCCCCAAGTGCACCAGCGCCAAGCAAACTTATTGCAATAAATAGGAATACAGGGACAATACTCCCGTGCCAAGGAAGAACGCCGAATGAGAATTCGAGAGTTGCCAATTTTATTTTTGAGGAAAATTATGAAAATTTATCCTTGAAATTTTCAGACACTTCAGGTGTAATTGCGAACAACGTTAACATCTGAAAAATTGAAGGAAAGTTATGGATAGGTTTACTGGGAAATTTGTGTTTTATCAATCGGAATTTTGCAATGCCTTAAGGTTCAAACGGCGTTTTTCCTTAGCGCGGCAGAATAATTTGCGATATCTAAATGAGACGCGGATTGCCTACCTTCTTAATCCGAGGAGCCCCCTAAGCTTTGCCACGAAATCGCCAAAAACGTGAAAAATTGTCCGCTTGTTTTCCGAAAATTAAAATGGTATCACAACATGGCAATATGCTGGAATATATTTGCGATTCTAGCTTTGTGAAAGGCTACTTGGAGAGTGAAGGAACAAGGAGAAAACAGGGATGGAAATAAGAGGACTAATAGCTATGATGTGAGAGGTGCGTATGTCTATGTACGTAGGGCAAAAAGAGATCGAGACAAGTACGGCCGTGCCAAGGAAGAACGTCGTACGAACCTTCAGGAGTTGCCAAATTTCCGTTGATAAAACACGATATTTCCTAGCAAACCTACAATTATTTTCCTTCCAATTTTTTAGGTAATTTTGTTCGCCATTTCACCATAAGCGCCTGAAAATCTCTGGGAAATATATTCATTACTTTCCTCAAAAATAAAAAGTTTATCGAAGGAAATCTGGCAACTCTCGAATGTTCATACAGCGTCTTTACAAAAAAAAAAAAAAATTAAATATCATCCGAGTCTCTGAATCATTACAATGAGGATACATATTTTCCCTTTAATTATGGTCAAAACTGGAGCGGAAAGTCAAGAATGATGACAACCAGTCCTACATCATTTCAAGTCTTGTAAGCGCTAATGTGCGTTTCATGCCAACTGACCGAGTGCACTGCGTTTGCCGTGGTGCGAGAAGTATTCATGCAGTCTTGTAGGCGCTAATATGGGCGCCGGACAAGTGCACTGTTTGGCGCAATGCTTGAAGTATTCCTGCAGGCGCTAATATACGTCTAACGCCGGCCACACTGCACTTGGCGCGATAATTTGAACTTGCATTAGAATAATCGCGGTATCGATTAATATTGCTTAGTTTTGTGTTTCGATGCCGTATGAGCATTTCAACGTTGCCTCGTTCCTCCCAATTAAATCATTTATTTCCGAGAAAAGTTTGGAAAGTTCTTCATACCCACGACCGCTTTTCAATCTTTTCACTTCCTTAATCGTCAGAAGGTAAGACATCAATGATTTATCAACAAAGTAACCTAAACTCTTGTCAACATAAAAATGCGATTATCATTCAACTGTTTCCTGTTTTGCCAAGCTTCTACCTTAAATTAACTTGATTTTCCTGTAGCAGATGTTGAGGTTTCTTTTCGCGCAATCCTTGTGCCTTTTTCGCACAATCGTCATATATTTTCTTAGACCTTTCGCGCGAACCTTATGTAGTACTCTGGTAAGAGACGTAACCAAGGAGACATTTTTGCGATATACATGTACAACCGAAATCGTACAGGGAGTGTCATTAAGGGATGTAAAATGGTTCTTTTTTCGTAGCGCAGTCAAATTCTATCTTAACTTCCCAGATCCAGCAATCAAAACTCGGTTCCCGTAAACATCCACGTCTAACTTCGTCCAGACATCACTCATATATATAATCCAAGATTCATCGGAACTCGCGTGTTACGGCTCATCAAGATGCTCATCGAAGACTCGAGACGGGAACCGCACTGAAAAAAAATTCTCGGCGTTTTTACTAAGGTCCGTTGGAACCTTTACCATCTCACTTTTTTTTCAATTGTTGTAATTTTAGCAAGACAGACTGGTAAACTTACCTAAAAACCAGTATTTTTACTGTTTTTTTTTTCACACTGAAAGAAATAATATGCTGTTTTAGCATCTATGATGTCAAAAATGTGCCTGGAGATCCCAAGATGCTGCCTTTATTGCTCTTGCAGTTAACTTTACATCCTATGAATGCAAATTCAACTGCATGGGCAATCGAGGTAGTATCATGGGATCACCAGACACATTTTTTGACATCCTAGGTGTTAAAACAGCATACCATTTTTTTCAGTGCAGGTAAGAATACCACTTTTATTGGTAATCAATTCCCGGTGACTTTGCCATTTTATCTCGGTAATTCTACCGCAGTCGATAAAAAATATTGGCGTTTTTACCAAGGTCCAGTAAAATTACCGAGAAAGTTCAATAATTTTACCGAGATTTCTCGGTGAAATTACCAATTCCATAAATGGTAATTTTACCAAGAAAAAACTGCGATCAAATAGAACCCTGAATTCTTGGTAATTTTACCCTTTTCTTAGTAAATACACCGAGATTTTTTTTTTCAGTGCACTCATATGAATGGCCTGCATTATGCAATTTGGTACTATAAATTCTGGCTCTTCTTGAAAAACATTTGTGTGCATAGGGAAACTAATGGCACATACGTTGTTTTTAAACTGAGCTGGAATTTATAGTTCCAAATTGCAAAATGTAGTCCAAATAATCCAAGATTCATCGGAACTCACGTGTTACGGCTCATCAATATGCTCATCGGAGACTCGAGACGGGAACCGAATTTTTTCTCGACGTAACGATGACCCGAATAGTGGGAGGGGGGCCCGGCCGCGATGACTTAAAAGTAAAAGCAATCAACAACTAAAGGCGAGAATGCGAATCGGATCTTCCACAGACCAACTTCGCAGGACTTACGGGCAAAGTCTTCATAATTATCTCGACTTCTCTCCGTTTCTTTCAATTATTGGGCTCGAGTTTGCCGAGACAGCTTTGCTTTCACTCATCGCTGCCTGGAGTCGGCGAGCAACTCCCGATAACTTCTCATAAACTTCCGATATCCGATTAAAGCGAAGTTCGCAGTGCTGATTTTAATGCACGATCTCAAAACAACATTGTAGAAACTTGGTGCAAACGTGCGTCCCACAATAGAATGAACTTATCGGTATATCTTTCGAGAAATATATATTTATCGTAGGGTCGAATCAGATACTTTGTGAAATGTCTTGATGGGATGTTAAATCTTGAGGAACGATCAAGTTTTGAATGTAATTGTGAAGATTTTTTTACTTATCAGCACTTCAGATGGAAGAATTGATAAAACTACCGTTTTTTCTTAAATTTGACTATGCACATTTTTTCTAATGATTTCCTCCTGTACAGAGAATTTGTCTGAATTTTATGAAGTTTCAAGTAATTTGGAGATTATTAACAACTCATTGCTAAAAACAAACAATCATAAAATAACGACCAGTTCAGCTAAGGCCCTTACCGACACGTTTAAAATACGTTTTTTTAAAAATCTTGGGAAGTCGCAAAAGTATAATGTAAGATACAAATGCCGAATTTAATTCTTAGTATAACCCGCGAAATGTTTTGCAATTGACACAACAAATATAAAAAGATACCTCGAGTAATAAATGATAAATAATCTATAAATCGGAAGTAAATGATTTAATTGAGAAGAACGAGGCAACGTTGGAATGCTCATACGGCGCGGTGTCGAAACACAACACTAAGCAATATTAATCGATACCGCGATTATTCTAATGCAAGTTCAAATCATCGCGCCAATCAGAGTGCAGTGTGGCCGGCGTTAAACGTTTATAAGCGCCTGCAAGACTGCCGGAATACTTCTCGCATTGCGAAAAACAGTGCGGTCGTCCGGCGCACATATTAGCGCCTACAAGACTGCATGAATACTTCTCGCATTACGCCAAACGCAGAGCATTCGGTCAGTTGGCGTGAAACGCATATTACCGCTTACAAGACGGTAGAAATGCTATAGGTCTGCGTGTTATCATTCTTGACTGTCGGCATTTGATAACCTCTATATACATCTGTCTTCATTTTTTCAAATTTTGATTCAATTCGTTTTTAACCGAATGATTTCACGTGTTGGCATGTGATTAAGCGTTTGAGAGCGCCTCGTAAAAAAGAAAGGAGAGAGAGACTTGAGCTGATTACCTGAACACGCTTGTGGTGGTAGAGGGAAGATGAGAGTGGTGGAGCTTTTCCGACGGGCGACAGCGCAGCCTAGCGACTGCGGCTTGAAACTCCGTAGCTGTTGCATGAAGTCGGAGCTCTCCATGAGCGCTACGTCGGCGAAGTGGAGATCACAGAGGATATGGTTCTTGAAACGGCGCGCGATCTTCTGGTTGGGCCCAGTCAGGTTCATGTTGCACGAGTTGCATTTCAGACACTCCTCGTGGTAGTGGTTGTTGTGGTACAAAGGGGATGGCTCTGAAACAACAAGTAATCAACATGTCAGACGTCATACTCGTAAGATAAGTAGCACCTTCACTTGCTCAGTAGTATTTAATCAGAGGCGGGTCCAGCAATTTGGCAACACCGGATTCCTCCATTTAAACCTGTGCTAAATAATCGATTCTTGTCGGAGCACCTGGCCCCTCCAAGAATCGATACATTTCCATAGGTTTAAATGGAGGAAATCCGGAGTTGCCAAATTGCTGGATCCGCCAATGTATTTGATTCACTGAAAAAATAACTCCGGGCGTGAAAGCCGTAGTTACGGGCTATAATTCCGTGCTAAGGAAGAACGCCGCGTATGAACATTCAAGAGTTGCCAAATTTATACAGATAAAATGTTTATTTTTGAGGAAAGTTGTGAATATATTTCCGTAAAACTCTCAGAATCTTTAGATGAAATTGCGAACAAAAGTATCTGAAAAATTGGGAGGAAAATATTCGTAAGTTTACCAGAAAATTCGCGTTTTATGAAAGGAAATTTGGCAACGCCTAAAGGTTCATACGTCGTTTTTCCTTAGCATTAAAGTATATAGCACTACTGTCCGTTGCGGGCTTAGAGGCTAAGAGTTCTGGGTGTTGGAGCCGGATTGGTCCGGGTACAGAGGCCGGAGCAGCGTCTGCTCTACGCGTAACTTTTGGCCTCTCAAACCGCAACGGACGGTAGTGCTATATGTAACTACGGCTCCCATGCCCGCAGTTTTTTTTTTTTTTTTTTCAGTGCTTCTTACACTTTTTGAACGTGGGCCGTCTGGCCAGGGGTGCTAGCATGCTTCAACACATTGAAAAAAGAAGTTACGGGCAATAGAGACATACCGTCTATTCCGGGCTACTTCTAACTTTCATCTATGGGGCTCCAAAGTTAAGAGTTGCGTATTTGGAGCTCAGATTTTAACGCGCATCGCCAAAAAAGTCATGATGGGGTCCAAAAATATCCGTTCCTCAACAGATATACTTCCAATCGCACGACACCTCTACTGCACTTTATGATCTGTGCTGCTCTTATCAATGCAAAACTCTATGATCCGCGCAACCGTTATAAATGCAGGACTGCGTGATCTATGCATGTCCTGCACTGCTAACACTGATAGGAAAGATTGATTCTAGGAAGGTGTAGGGTTACGGAATTGGGGTGGGAAGAGTGGAGGTTGGAGGGTGAGCAAATACCCAGGAGCCAGGAAAATCAGGTTTGCTGGGACGATAAAACTGTTACAACATTTCTGCGAACGATCGATGTTTCAGAGAAACTCAGCTAACTGAATATTAAATTTTCATCAATAAGTAGTTAATCGAGTGACCTGGATTCATTAAAAAAAGAAAGGAAAATACGCAAGCAACGGTTTTATCAGTGAAGTTCAATTTAAAAAGAGCCGTGAAGGTACAGTGATCAACTCATTGGTTAGTTTTTCGCTGGTTTTCTATAAAAAATCAGTTACCAGGTAATTTTTCATTAGCGGAATGCCGCTGTGAGGGAGAGTGCCGTATGAGCTCTAAGATGCTGCCAAATTGTCTTTGCTAAACCACTAATTAACTATAAATCATGTGAATAGTTTTCTTCTGATTTTTCGAGAAATTATAATTGCAATTTGATCTAAAATGTCTGAGAACCAAACGAAGATGCGGATTTAAGCTGAATCAGCCCAACTACACGAAACATTTCCTAATAATTTGCTCTGCTTTTTTATTTTCTAATCAGAACACGAAACAACGCCAGAACTTGAAATTTTAGTAGTATTTACGGAGAAAAGCGGTATGGATTGTTGGATGATATGACCATTTCCACATATACTTGCGATATACCCCAATAAAGTAGGTTACCAACCCAAATGTTACGGTACTACCACAATTCATTAGGAGTCCCCATATTATCCGTCAAATTGCGGTTGTACCACAATTTTAGGGTGAACACACACTAATTTAACACTTTTTTTCGTTTATTCTTCATGATATAAGATACATTTACACACAAGTTTAAATCATTACGTAATTCAGTTCCCAGCACAAAACAAAAATAAATTATGAATGAGAGGAAATTAGGCAACGTGAGATGCAGATAGGCTGCTTCCGGGCATATCCGTTCGTATATTCATTATAAATGTTCTAAAAATTGAAAATTCGATTGGGTGGAATGTGGCCGCATTCGAGTGTTCGGTTGGTGTTTTTCCTCAGCGCGGCACCATAGTTCCTGATTTACGAGTCAAGATGAGAGTTTTCCAGGAGAATCACGGATCCGGGTCGAATCTTACGAGAGTTTGCGAGATGCACTGGAGATCATGAGAAGTGGCTTAATTGACTCTCTCAACTCACTCTACCTGCACTGAGAAGAACTCTATCTGCAAGAAAGAACGCCGTATGAGCACTCCAGAGTTGCAATATTGCCTTCAACAAAGTGTTAATTTTTGAGGAGGGTTATGAAGATTTTTCCTTGAATTTTCAAGAACTTCTGGTGAAATTGCGAACAACATTATCTGAGAAATTGGAGGGAAATTATTCATAAATTTACCAGGAGATTTGCGTTTTATCAATCGAGATTTTGCAATGCTTTTTAGATTCGTACGGCGTTTTTCCTTAGCGCGACAGAGTACTCATGCATTTCGCGGAAAAAGTTTCGTCGTGCCTGTTAGAGGGAAGCGCTTACAGTGTGACGGGCGAATTTGCATTATCTGAAAAATTGGAGGGAAATTCTTCATAAATTTACCAGAAAATTTATGTTTTATCAATCGAAATTTTGCAGTGCTGTTTAGGCTCATACGGCGTTTTTCCTTAACGGGACAGTGTATTCGTGCATTTCGCGGAAAAAGTTTCGTCGTGCCTGTTAGAGGAAAGCGCTTACGGTGTGACGGGCGTATTTGCATGACCCTAACACAACGAACATCGGTGCGCTCTCGGCTAGAGTATGTGGCATCACGAGCGCGCCTACCCGAGGGTTCCTGCCTGTTGATCGGATCGCATTCCCTGAATTCTCACGGCTTCACCGGGTGAGCTCATCCAACATTCCGACTCCGAGCTCACCAAATTACTCGCCAACGTGAGGACAAATGTTGATTTTCGCGTGGTTCAGCAACCGTCCCTTCGCCGAGAGCCCTTCGTCTTGGATGGTCGACCGTGCTCAACCGGCAAGAATGGCTCCGGGTGCCACTTTCCACACGATTGACCACAAGTGGACCACGTTTGGCGGAAAGGAACCAAGCCACATCAGCTGTTGCCAAATTTAACTGGGCAATTTCATTTTTTAGACACATTTCAATGTCAGATTTGGCCTAACCTAACCTAGGAAACATACATCTATATAAGAAATGACTTGTCTTCATAGAGTAAAACATAGGGGTCATTAGTGAAGGGGTACTTTGTACCCAATAATTTTTTTAGATCTCCGATGACTAAAAATTTGCACGATCCTTGAAAGAGTCATTCAATAAAAGTACGTTGCAGAGTTTTAAAACGTAAAGATATGAATTTCTCAAAGATAAGCCTACAGGCATTACATAAAGTGGACAAAATATGAGGAAAAAGGTAGAAATGGTACATAAATAAAATTGAGAAACTAGATGTTGCTTCCCGCCACGAAGAATGGCGCCGATTCCCATGGAGCAGTGCGGGCCTTTACCAATGGATCCATTAGTAACATACCCGCTGCAAAACGATGGAAAAGAGAGTACACTACTAACGTGGTGAACGCTCAAAATGAATTCCCAATTGGACCTCATACACTGAGATGACGAAGAACGATTGGCTCATCAATAAAAGCACCTACTTGCATAGAAAAACTAACAGCGCATGTTTTTTTTTTTCTAAAATCTGTAAGAAACAGTGGTTTTTTATTGTGAAACGTATAGTCAAATTGCAGAAACGCAAATTTCGAATGGAGTTTTTATTTTTTGTTTAAAATTAAACATCCTTACATGCAGCAACTTTCAAACGGTTTTTTTTTTTTTTTTTTTTTTTTTTTGAGATGAAAAAATCCTTCAAATGATGCACATGATTTTCATGTGTTCTAGATATTCGTTTTTGGTAGCTGAATCTTACAATTCAGCTGAGAACGATGCCATCCATTCCAATACCGAAATTAATTTTATTAGCAACAGAGCATTCGCTCATCAAAATCAAGGTGAATGACCCGCGAGTTGTTCAGTTGTGGTGTTTCCCAGACAGGCACTACCCTCTTTTGGATGAAAATACTTTCCGCATAGACACTAGACACGTATTATTATTTCTTACTGATCGATAAAACTCAACCCTCAATTAATAAACGATTCTGTGACATGAATAACTGGCCCGTTTATTTCAATTATGAAATTAATAGTCCTTCGTCTTTTAAGGGACTCCTATACTACAATGGTGCGATAACAAGTCAAACAAATTTGTTGGACACTTGCCTTTTCATCTTTAAATGCAATTTATGCGCCCGGTGGAAATGGCGCACCATCCTTTCATTTTCTTAATTATTGCCTCTATTACTCATTACATAACACAACCTCCCCGTCTTTCCAATGTATACTTCATTATACTTCTTGAGCTCAAAGTGAAGTCAAAAAATCTTAATGACAGAAATAAATGTAAATCATCGCACTGCAAAAAAGATACCGTAGGAATAATTTCAAAAATATTGCACTTATTTAAAATACTGCATACGTTAGAGGAAACAGACTGTTTCATTCTCTGAATAAAACATGAAAAATATGCATCTTTTGGCTTATCAATTTAATAATATTTCTTTCACTTGAAATTTACATTTAGTTGAAATTTTTGGTCGATTTTGGATATTTAAAAGTTACTTCCTCTCAGTAATTAGCCCTCGCTGTACCGGATTAAAGTAACTCTAGCGTAAAATGCAAGGCATGCTTCTGAGTAACTTCCGCTGTTCCAAAATATTTATATCAGTTGATAATTTAGTTATAAATATTTGAATTCATTTCACTTTGAGCGCGAAATTCGCGCCGGATCCATGCACTCAGAGTAACAGGTGGTCAAAATAG